CAACCCTATGCTTAACTTTTTGAGGAACTATCAAAATGTCTTCCACAATGGCTGCACCATTCTACATTCCCACCAGCAATGTATGAGGGTTCCAATTTCTCCACATCGTCACCAATACATATTATTGTCTGCCACTTTGATTACAGCCATTCTAGTGGTTACGAAGAAGTATCTCATTGTGGTTTTGATTTGTCTTTGTCTAATGTCTAATGATGTTGAGCATCTTTTCATGTACTTATTGGTCATTTGTATATCTTCTTTGGAGGAATTCTTGGTCTTCGGGTAACCTATATTAAATCTCCATTTTTTTTTTATAAATCCTCATTTTATCACCAATAAGATGATCTAGAAAGGGCAGGATCTCTTCAGAGCCTGCTTCTGCTATAACTTTTTCTCAAGTCTTCTCTTTCTGGACAGTGCCAACTCATTTCAAAGTGAGAAAAACCAAAGGAATGGCTGTCCTGAGCATCCCTTCCCCCACCCTTAATCCTCCTTTGTTACCTACCGGGATGGCAGCCCGAGTGGTCCAGTCCATTCTCCACCACTGAGAGCATCTCCACTCAAGCAGCAGCTCCCAGAAGAATCACATGACACCTGAAGAGATACACGGGACCACATGAATGATCACTGCCTCAGCCAATCTCCTCCCCACCCCCAGCCTTCATCTTACTCAAACTGCAACTGGAAGGACTTTGAACCCAAAAGTGAAAACCAAGAGTAGATTTTAAGGAAGGAGACAAGGAAGGAAAAAACGTCTGAGGCTTCGGATCTCATGAGCTGAGGGTCCCTATGTGACATGGGTGGGTCTGCCCCAAGGGTGGGTAGAAAAGGCTCTTTACTCCACACCAATGGCTGACATGAAAAGCAGGGAATGAAAAGCTGGTGCAGGGCTCACCATTCACATTCAGGGCCTGGGCCCTGCCACTGTCCCCTGACTCCTGTCCTAGCCCAGGGCCGGCCAACTCAGTGGGGAAAAGCACAACTGAAACAGCTTCAAAAGGAAGGGCTCTCTTGCTACACATCTGCTTCTCCTTTGGGCTGAGGGTCTAGTTTAAGCTGCACAGGAATATGTCTAAAGGAGAACAACACGGGTTCTAATCTCAATTTGACACTAACCAGCTAAGCATGCTGGGGCACGCACCGGGCCTCTCAAATGGAGGTTATGAATGTGGAAAACACCGAGCACAGGGCCTGATATTTACCAAGGATATCTATAACCCTAGTGGATGTGGCCACCCAAATCTACAAGCAAAGAATGCTATTGCCTAAATGAGTGTGCACAAGTAGCTGAAGTCAGTACACAGGTAAATCTCTCAGGCCCTCTCGTGGGGGTGGCTGAGGGTAAGAAGGATGGGGTGGGGCCTTTGGCCTGAGCCTGAGGGGACTGCTGCCTGGCCTGGCCCCACCCACATCTAAACACATCTCTAGTAAGTCACATAGCTAAGCATGAATGGACACCAAAAGAAGAAAAAAAGAAAGAAAAAGGTTATTGTTGTCTTTGCTCTCAAAAACTCATGGCCCAAAGAAGTTAACAAAATCAAGTCATGCTCAATGGATTTTGTACCGTTTATGTATATTGCCTCATTCATTCCTTCTAACCACCCTAGGAGCATTTTAATTACCTCAGATGACAGATGAGAAATAGAAGCTGACCCGGGTCAAGGAAATTCCCAAGATTCCAGGGCTACTAAGTGGCCGACACCACTACCTCTGGTCAGGACAACGCCAACCCCAGCTCAAGGGAAACCCCCAGACTTCTGAAGAGGTGTGATCACTGCTCTTCTGGAAGAGGCAGGTGTGAGCCAGGGCTAAGGGGTGGGGGGGGCAAAAGGGCAGGGGGGCCTAGGAGGAGGGTTCTTCAGCTGGGGGTCCAGGTGAGGGGGTGCAGTGGAACACTGAGGTCAGTCTGGTGGGAAAGGTTTACAGGAGGATAGCGAGCATGACGCTTGGAAATGGGAGAAGCAGCGTTGCCCTAGACAGTGGAAGATGCTCTGATTCAATCCTTGGCTTCTGGAGCTGGTGAAGGGTAAACAGGACCCAGAGCCAACCTCAACAAGTAAGGACATGCAGAAGGAGAGAAGTGTTAGGAAGGCGGCCCCTGCAGAGCCAGCTCTGCTCAGGGTGTGACAGACCATAGAACACTGGCCCCCGTCTGACTGCCTCACTCTCACCATGCTCCCCCTCCCACACACCAGGGATTCTCAGGGGCCCTTCGCCACACTCTGGCCACCCAGGGAACAGGAAAAGGGGTATGTGCTGCAGACAGTCCCTCCTGAAAAAAATGCCTGAGCCTGGAGACTAGGTTCCTTCCAGGTTACCTAGTGTAGCCCAGGAGGTCAAGTCCAGACTCTCTGGCTCCAAGACTCTGGGCTCCAGGCCCTTTCAGCAATTCCAGCAGCCAAAGGCTTTCCCTCAGGCCTGACCTTCTAGACAGAGCCTCAAGCTCCAAAACTGCCCTTCCCTCAGCCAGCCACAGGCCAGGCCTGGAATGCCTTCACCAAAACAATCTGAATGATAGCCTGGGCCCATTAAGGCCTCATTAACTAATTAACTGAAAATAACATTCATTGGAGGGAAGGAAGCTTATTCGTAAGCGGGTGCCCCAGCCCAGGAATGGTCTGCTAAAACCCCGAAGAAAGCTGACGCTGAGAGACCAGAGCAGGGCGAGACAAGAGATGAGTAACTGTCGCCTAAAACCAAGTGTCGGAAAAGCCACCAAATGACTGACGAGAGTGCAGAGGAGTCCAGAAGGAGAACAGCCACTTGACAATTCATACAATAGGACTGAGGCTTTGGGATTCAGGCCACAACTCAGGGCACACTTTGCAGGCAGCCTCAGCTCCCTACCTGTGCGTGTCTGCTCCATCGTGCCTCGGGCAGGCAGGAAACCAGCTCAGAGGCAGGAATTTGACAGCCTAGGACTCGAGAACTTGGTGGTGGGACCAGAATGGGACTTTGGGTCTCCTGAGTGCTGCATCAGCACCCCATCATTCTCCTGGGAGGCCCAGACCCCCAATCTACCATCCCATGGGACTGGTTTCACTTCCGGTCCTCAGAACACTCTTCACTGACACCAAGAACCAAACCAAGAAGAGGTGTGGCTTCAAGGTGATTTAGGCTAAAAAGAGTAAGAAGAGAACTGGAGTAATATTACCAAAGGGTTCTTCAAACATCACTGGTGAAATTTAGCAGAAAAGGTGACTTCTGTCTTCCCTTTAGGCAACTCCTAACCATGTGAAGTCTACCTCACTCCCTAAGTATCGATTCATCCTGACACAGCTCTTCACCCTTCTCTAATCTCATTTACTTCTTAAAACAGTCTTGTGACAGAAGGATGATTATCCTTCTTTTACACAGGAGAAAACTGAGGCTCAGCAGAAAAGAGCCCCATGTAAGGGACAGAATTCTCTGGTTTCCACATTCCTGTGCCTTTCATCAGATCAAACCATCTCAGGTCTTTGGTTCTAAGAGTTTCAGGCAAAATTATTTACTTATAGACTAAGTAATAATTAACTTAGCACTCAGAAGCTCCATTTTATCAAATAAGGCTAAAATCCACAAGAAACCATCTTGCCCATCAGGTCTATAGTCCCAACCAGCTGAGGCCAGGTCCCTTCCATGGTACCCAAGTTCCACAGCTGTCCTTTCTTAAATGTTCCAACACACAGGGAGGAATTGTTCTGCTTGTTTTTCTTCATTATACCTTCCTGGCCTTCCATATACGTCCAATTTCACTGCCTCCAGAGACCCAGAAAGAAAGAAAAGATGGCTTGGGTGAGACTTACATTAAAAGACGAAACGGATGACCTGGCTTCACTGCTTCTGAAATACTCCATCCATCAATAAACAGCAACCTCTTCTCCTTAGAGAGTTAGCCATTCCCAATAGCTTTCTCTCTATAGCCTGAATCCAATTCTGTACCTGGCTGTTCAGAACAAACAGCCCGACGTTTAAGCCATCTAGCTGCTGTTATCAATCAATGAGTCATGTTTGGAAAAGAATGACAAAGTTATCTTCTGATTCAGAAAGGCAGCTGATCTCTCAGACATGTGAGTGCTGAGTGAGTAGACAGCACCTCCTTCCACCTGAAGAAAGTTGGATTTCTGGACAAGTGTCCTGTGAGTTTAGGCGAATGAGGCCTTTGAAGCAACTGGACACCAGCTGGAGGGTGAGAAATGTCTAGCCTGTGATTCCCAAACCAAGGGCTAGTGACTGAGGCCAGAAATGTGAAGGCAGTGAACACTAGGTATCTTTCTTTCTTCCCTCCTTCCTTCCATCCGGTAACACCCATCTCCCCCACATTCTTGTCCTACGTCCCTCAGGATTCTAGCAAGGACCGAACTCTGAACTTTGCCTGACTCATTCACCACTTCTAATGCCTGGAAAAACGCAGGCACACAGTGGTGCTCAAAAAATACTTGCTGAATGAACAGATGAATGAAATAAAAATAAGGCTCAGGGCAGGTAATCTTCATTTCAAAGACCATGAAAAGTTGAGGTTTACAACTCTTAAGTGGTGGGAAACAACTGGCGCACCGCCAATTCTAAACCACACTGCCAGGAGGCTGAACACCATTCAGATATACTGCACCTTAATGTGGAGGGGGGTGGGTACTGAAGGAGGAAGGGCATTCAGCTTTCAAAGGAACAGACTATATAAATGGCAAGCAAAGACAACAGGTCCTGTTTGAGACCCTTTAAAACTGCTGCCAAATGGCCAACCCTTTGAAGGTAGGTCATCAGAATTTAGAAAGAATTTGTACCCCAAAAGCCTAGATTATAAATGCTGAGCATGGGGTTTGGGTGCCTCAGGACTGTCCGTCTGCCTCAGCCACTATGAGATAACTCAGCTCCCCATGGCTAACCAAATGGCCAAAACTCAGTGATCCAGCACCTGCAAAAAGAGGAAGTGATCTGACAGCCTCTGTGCCTGCTTATCCGCCTTGGCCTCCTCAGGACCCTCTTACTCGTACTCTTCACAACATGTACCATCATCTCTGGCTTCCATCACATTCCTTGTGTTCTGTGTTGGAGTCTGCTATCAGCTCTAGCTGAGAGGAGCACTGGGTGAGGGTCCTTTACAAGTGCCAGGGCAACACACATGGACGTGGTTCTGTGATCACAGCGAATCCCATACAGCGGTACTCAGGTTTCTCCCCAGCCAGAAAACCAGCCAAAAGGAAGTGACGGCTTCCATTGCCCCAGGCTGAGTGAGCTAACTGAGTGGCCAACCCGCACGTTCCAGGTATCTGGGTGATACCTACCATTCCAGCAACCAGCACAGGTAATTTAAGATGAATGCCAGACACCTAATTCCCAGGGGCAGGTACGTGGGACCAGGTACCCAGGAAAAGCCCCTGACCCAAAGCAGGAATCACTCCTTCTCCACACTTATTTACCACCTGAGGCCCTGCATGCACCTACCAAGCTGCTCAGTCTCTAAATGCTGGGTTCTGAGCAAGCTCCTAAATTTGACGGTTGAGGGGCAGCTTGTGCGGTTGGCAGGGGATTCTGCACTAAATTCTCGGACTGAATGGGGATGGGGTCAAGGGAAGAATGGGCGCAGAGTTGAGGTGTAGAGCTCAGGTGGGGACAGCAGAGGTGAAAGGACAAGAGACATCACTTTTAATAAGATTAGGTGGGGGTGATAGGAACTGGGGCACCAAGAGTCGGGGGGCAGCTGAGCAAACACTTAGGCATGGAGCTGTCCTCAGGATGCTTGAAGATGGAAAGGAAGTATATGGTGGGCTAGGAAGTTAGGGGTTGAGTCTGGCTCTTGGGCTCACAAGAAGATACATTTAAGACTCAGGAAAGGGCTGAAATCAGAGTTATCAAAAAGAAAAGGATGAGCTCAACAGGGCATCTCCTTTGGTGGCAGGTCTTAAATGAGGGTGGGACAGAGGTGGGGTGTCCAGGATGGACAGACCTTGGGGAGCAGAGCAGGGGTGTGTGGGAAATTCAGGTAAGAAAACTGATCCTAAAAAGGGCAAACCAGAATGGTGGGCTCAAGGAGGCTTGTATGCAGCATTAGAATTGCCAAAGGGATTGAATGGTGAAGATGAGATGTATTAAAGGGAGGCTGAGGGATGTGGCCAAGGTCGGGGTTGGAACTCAACTAGAGTGAGGTCAAGGGTGAGGCTGCATTTACGCTAGACTGGTGGTCAGGGGGTGGGGGTAGGGCTGAGGCCAGGTCACAGGTGGGAAATGGAGGGGACAAGCAAAGCAGGCTGAAGGCTAGGGTCAGAGTGTGGCGCGGGGCTTGGGCTGGGAAGGGTGAGGGCTCTGAAGCAGGGCAGTCTCAAGGCACGTCTCTGTGGGATCACAGAGAGGGCTCCTGTGCCCCCGCCCATTCGCCTCTCGGCCCTCCCGCCCCTCCGCTGCCCGCAGTGGCCCCGACCCCGACCCCTAACTCACCAGAGTGGGCGGGGAGGGGGTCGAGGGCACTCCCAGCCGCTGCAGCCCCTAAGCCTCGGACCCGACGCTGAGGCCTCCGGGCCACTGACAACAGGAAGCGGCGGCCGCGGCGCCTGACGCCATCACGTCAGCTCGGTGTCCGGCCCCGCCCCCGCCCGAGGAGCCAGTCGCGAGGCCGCGAGGAGCCGCGGGGCGGGGCCGGAGCTCTGGGATGTCCACGGTTCCCAGCTCCGAGAGTATAACGTCTGGGGGGACTGGGACTCAGAGAGACACCGGAGCCTGGCGCGGAGAGGCGAGGCCGCGGCCACGGCTGAAACGCGTCTTTAACGCCCGCTTCCCGCAGGGAGTGTGTCACACGAAATT